AAGTATTCGTCCCATTAACCTACCCACCAACTTACTGCTTCATATACATAAGGAAGGAAATGTGGGATAAGCTCAAAGTCATCATATCGAAGCATTCGCTTCTCCACGCACTCCATTCACCTACCCACCAATTCACTGCTTCACCAAAAGAAGGAAGTGTAGGATAGAGCTAGGTTCTCCGTATCACTACCTTTATCGTAATCATACTTCTCGGAAGGACAGACATACAAACCGACAAACCGACAAACCGACAAACCTACAAACCTACAAACCGACACACCAAGTTACTGCTTTATAAATAAGAAGGAAGCATAGCCTAGTTCATGCCAATGATGGAGGTTTGTCTTTTGAGGTCGGAACCGATTGAGTTCTATGAAGACCTGTACGGACTTCTACTGTCGATCCCTAATCGACAAGTCGTGATGGGAGATTTCTTAGTGGTAAGCTTCAGAATGCTTTTTACCTAAGAATTCCTTTTTGTTTCCCAATGTTCATCTCTTTAGTTCCAATCTCACTATGGTTCCGAGATCAGAAATTATGCCTTGAACAACAATGTCACCGTGAGTTCCATTACACTTTGTTCTATAAGGCACTTCATCAGCCAAGTTTGTGGATATGTCTTGGCCGACACAGAGGTGGCAACTCAAGTGGCACAAAATCGGGTTTGAAACGGCTCGTTGCTATGTGTTGCCCTCGACTGATTGACCAGAGGTGACGACGTGGCAACAAGACCATAGATGTCTGTTGCGCCGATTTCACCTTTTTTTCAGCGGCACATTCAGGGTTTGTAGGAAGCCGCATTTTGAATAGCGCAACTTGAGACGGTCTCACATGAAAACATTCAAATGACATATAGTAATCCGAATGCTAATGAAAAATAAATTGCTCATCCGAAAGCCATGAATGACATATTCGCAGCAGTAATGGTCAGCAGTAATGACATTCATTCCTTTCCATTCCACACACTTCGAATCAGAAGAGCGGAAAAACTGGTAAAGGAGATGTCTCGCACAGTACCTTCCTGATTCCCAGAATCGGGGTCTCGCAAGGAATCGTGAGATTCGGCTGCTTAGAGTTCAAAGCCTATTTTCAAAGGCTCATCTAAGATAGGGGTGAGTCCTAATACGTATTCCTTCTTTACCAGTTTTGGATTCGGGACTCGGATCCGAAATTCCTTCAGGGTCCCTAGCGGCTATTTGTATTTAATGCGGAAAGACTCGACCGTGTCCCCATACCGTCTTTATTATAGAGTTGTTCTCTGTCGCAACCTGAGGCAGTTGACGACTTCGTCCCGCCTTCCCGTTTTAACGTTTATCAATCCATGCACCAAGTTCTTCGCCGTCGCTCCCTTATACTAATTCCCACACCTCCGACATGTGATCCTGTAATGCACACCAGCGACAGTCCCTTCCAGTAGGCTGGATTACAGTTAGGTATTGCACTTTTAAAATTGTCCTCATAAACTTCCTTCTGGAAATGGTCACTTCATCAGAGTTTAAGGGCACTCTAAACTGGACTTTTGCGTCCGTGTACTCATACCGTTCCCATTGCACTCCCTATTTCCTTATCCTCACTAAGTATCAAACTGGGAGTCTTCGATGAAGACGTCGGGAAAGTTTATTATTAGATTCATCGAATCGAAACCATGTTCTCATGGCCTTTAATGCACGCAATAGTGAAANAAATGTACAACTTCGAAGGACTAATGAATAACGTTCGTGACTTATCTACATAATGATGGAATATTGAACCTCAGATGAGCACCGGACTGGAAAACGCTCTACTCTTATGCGACATATTATCAGTTCTGGATCGAGCCAATCCCAAGAGTCTTTTGAAGGCTTTCGAACAAGAGTGTCTAGGTAATTACAAACTTTCCAATGACACATCTACGATGCAGGCGGTGCTTTTCAGGTCTCACCGGGCCAGTTCTAATCACAGAGGATGGTTCTCGTCAACCGCTGTTCAATGTTTTCGCATGGGAGAATAGAAACATACAATTGCTCTTGAGCATATCTCCTGAAATGATGCCTTGCAACGAGACCTCATCAGGCAATTGTAGTACTTATGTGAGTTCTACATATTCTAACAATAAGAAGAATTTTCCATTCGTCAGAGAGAAGAATAGGCTTAAGTCTATTGCATACAATTTGTAAGAAAATGGCTTTGAGGACAATTATTGTTGATTCTCATCTGGAAAAGCGGCTGAAGGAATCTTTAGGTAGTCGTACATCACGACTCGTTCTCAACAGTGCTCTTGACGCTTCAAAGCCAGGATGGTTCCTGTAAGAATTGTGCACTGAAATACGCTCTGCTAGCAGTACTGATCGTTTCCGCAGTCGTAGGAGTCCCCTTGGTAGCCGCTTCGGAGTTTCAGCGGTGAGTACAGCAGTTCTTTCTTTATCAGTCTTATGCATAAGTACATAACATCGGTTTCCGATCGCAGAGAAAACATACTTTGGCGACTTCTCATCAAACATTCAACAGGCTTACTAATAACTAACAACGCATTCCAGTTATTCACGGCGAAGTTTATTAGTAGGAGTCGAATTTTCGTTTTCTGGTCGTTAAGAATGGATTCATTGATTCTGATTGAGATCACTGAACAGGGGCTCAATCTCAGCTTTATCACCAAAGACCAAGTCTATCCCTCTCGAAAGATTCGAGAAAGGTGACTTATTGTCCGATGGAACTGAATTAGCAGAATTGAAGGCACATTTTACGATAATTTTGGGGCATCTGGTTTCCGAGGAGGAATGAAAGTGATAGTCTCCAAAATAGCGCGAAAGGGGAGAAGAAAACGCGGAAAACTGTGTTGTGTTTCTGAAGAAATATAAGGCTTCAAAAAAGAAGTAAACCTAGGTAGGAATGGGAGAGAAGGTGACGATAGAAGTTCCATGGAAGGGGTGGTCTTGTTCAAATGTGCACGCCACCACATACAGATGTCTGCAGCTAACTGCCTGCGGGTGCGAATGTTGCAACCTCTACAGCTTCCACAACGCTTAGGAACTCGTCCACCTCGGGCGTGTACGTCGGCTGAGCCGATTTTGGAGCCCTTATTACGCCCTATCTCAGCGAGTTCTCGATCCCACAGCTTTTCTTAAGCTATCTTTGGGGGTCACAGATTCATCCCAGGAACCGTTTTCAATGTGAACTGTGCCTCTGAGAGGAATAAGTGATATTTCGTTAACATAATTCTGATTATAACGACATAAGACAAAGTTCCATTTATATTATTCCTGTCAAAGGTAGGATACTTGCAAAGATCGGCATTACTTACACTTCGTAGCTGTGATAGTGACTTCTCGTCCGTGATTGTCTCTTTTTAAATCGCCCGTTTGAAGGAGAGAGCAGAAAATTCATCGGATGACGTGGAGAATCGACTGCAAAAGTATTGTACGGTCCAAAAAAACCTTGGCGGTGAGCTTTTCATATTATGATCGTGTTTACCTTGCTAAATCAATTGCTCGAATTATTTATCCGATGTAATCATAGAGAGCTATCACAAAGCCTTCATTGGGTAAGAACACAGGAACATTAAACATTAAACGAAGCTCATCTGGCTAACAAGTAAATAACACATCATTAACATTAGCGAGAGGGGCAATGCCTACCAGATCATCTCGCCGGGAGAATTCCCAGGATTCAGGCTTAAGTTCTGATGCTGCTTCAGGTCAGTCAATCAGTGATCGCACTAGGAAAAAATCAGCCGAGGACGATATTTAAAAAAAAATTGGAAATTGACTTTCAGGGTGTTGAGCACTCCATACCACTAACCCTAACGATTCACCACCTTCTGACGAAATTCCGAAATTCAGTTTCGAGCTGTCACTGAATAAATTTCAATCCTAGTCTTGAATAGGCTTCTCAAGCGTTATGCGATATAATATGAATGTCTCATAGGTGGTTTTTATGTTCATGAAGAAAACCTCCGTTATATTATTGATACGCCGTCAGCGTGAGAGAACAACGCTCATATAAAATACTAGTAAACGAAGGACTGAGACAAAGCAAGCTAAACAAAACAAACAGAGTGGAACTGCACATAGAATGAGCTGCTGTTCCTCGTTTGCTCGACAGAGCGCTACCTCCACAAAGAAAAAGTCAAAAAGAAGAAGGTAGTTTGTTCTCTTAAAATTCTCTAGAATCCATAGAGGCAGTTGTGCCAATGAAATAGGCCCTATGGTGTATGCCTTAAAGAGATCAAGAATTCCATGTAAAGGGTAACAATGGTTGTACTAGATCGACAGAACAAACAAAAACAAAACAGCTAAAACCTTGAAATAAGATAAATTGCCAACATCGGCCAGAGCTGTGTTTACCTCCTAGAATATTTTGATCGCTATTTTAAGATGTCTCACTACCATTTGTCTGTAAAGAAAGATTTTTGTGCCTATTGGCAATGTTGCTCCTTTATTAAGTGACTAGGATTTTTCTCAGGCGACAAAAAAGTTGAATAAATTTCCTATTACAGTGAAGTGCTCTTAAAAAACAGGGCTCCGTAAAGGGAAGGGAAGATAGCTCAGAGCGATCAAGCTGCTTGTGTTCAGATCGAAGACACTTTTACATAGAATAGTTCTTTCTCTGACAGCAATACCTCCCAAACAGCAGGCCGCTTCCCTCTTTTCTCTCTTTCAATTCGTTTGAATCCTAACTATGAGCTACCGTAGCTACCACATTTAGCTAGTATTAATAAATATATTTACAATTCTCCAGGCCTTTCATTCTTTTATCAGATCCTAAGGAAATTAGCGGATTCAAACCAGTTTTTTAGGAAGCAACACTTCCGGGTTATCGGAAAGTTTCATCTACAAGCAGTGCAGGGCTTTCCAGTTGCTTCGATTCACAACAACCTTCCGAAACTTCGTTAGCATTTTTGAATGATCAAAAAGTGGGTTCTTCAGAGTATCCTGATCATGAAGTTGAGTTCCAGCGAAAATTGACAAGCCAGAACTATCAAGGATGGTATTGGGTAATCATTGAAGCAAGATCTCGAAGAGTAAAAACAGCAGAAGTTCAACGACATTGCATTCGTACGAGGTAACGAAGCTCAGAGGTTAAGGACGGCGAGCGATCATTTCCGAAGTCAGAAGTTGGCATTACCGTTACTCTTCTAAGCGAGGCTACCTTCATGTAGTTGAGTTTCCGCAAAGGAAGTGATCGATACTCGATTGCATGTTAGGATGAGGCAGACGTCAGGCGAACTACCTTAGTTGTGACTGACCGTTCGTTCTTACTAAACAATCCTCCTTGATAGCCTCATTACTGAATAAAGATGATATGGCAAGAAGGTATATCATGAAAAAAGTGAAGTGGGAATCCACCCACAAGCGAAATGTCGATTTTGAGAAGTAAAAGAAATCAAATAGTATGAGGAAAACTACTGATGAAATAGTAATTCAGGTCTTCATCAAAACCTTTCGCCAAAAAAGGGCATTGACGTTCACACGAGCGGAAATCAAACACTTGGATCAGGTTAACGCCACTTAGTTCACTACTTGGATATGTAAAATTATTAACATTGAGATGCTATTTTCAGCTTCGAAATCTCTCTAATAGTAATCTGAACCCGTTCATTGGTATATCGTTCAATCAGGGACGGGAACTGATGGTAGTGTGGACGTATTGCCCACGGAGCAGCCTTGACTACATCATATTCGAGAAGGAACGACGCTTTGGACGAACGTTTCAGTGCTCATTTCTAAAGCACATCCTCAAGGTTAGATCAAATGAAATTTCGAACCTTGCTGGGGTGGAACTGTTCTCCGTAAGAGTACTCGGGAAACCAAGTTCAACAGGCACTGACGCATTGAGCGATCTGAAACAAGTCAATTTGACTAGATGTCTCCCTAACCTTCAGATCGTTTCAAACAGAGAAGAACCTGCTACGATCGAAAATGCCCATAGTTATGCTCCGGAGCTCTACTAATTTCACACTACTCGATGAAATTCGCATAAAGGCACAGCTTACGATAATTCTGAGGTACCCGTTTCAGGTAGAAAAGTGGAATTGTTGATGCAGAGGAGTACATCGGTGGCGAAGGAAGCAAGAAAGTCCGCCTACTTCAAGGCTTCTCAGAAGTATTGGAAGTGGAGGTTGTATGAGATCATCGTAAGGGTGATGGCATATAAAGGGTGTTTGGACGAGATTCGAAGGCACCGTTCACAAAAAAGTTAGGGTACCTTTTTGACGGGAATTGATAGAACTACTCTAGAATAAAGCGATAACAACGAAAAAAGCGCAAAAAACGATGAANCATTGAAATAACGGCGGTTAGGGAGTGTTCGGGCGAGAATGCACGGAGGCGACGCAATGTCTGCAATACAGACAACACACCCAAACAGCGGATCGGGAACCTCCCGCATCTATGCTCCCCTCCGCACTTTGAACACCTTTCTTTCATGTACCTTTTCCTTATGAATCCCAAAACTAGACTGCTACCTGCCTATTGCTACTCTTCCTTCTACCATTATCTCCTTTTTGTTGTTATTTATGCGCCTTCACTTTCAGGGTCTAGAGTATATACATGGCAGTTCCATAAAGTTTCACGGATCTTTGTTCTTATCGAACTGTGTTGTTGATGCGAACTGGGTGGTCAAACTGACCGACTTTGGTCTCCAGGAAATTATTTGGGACAAGGTTAGAGCCGTCTCCTGATCCTGATCCACCTAGACAGCTTGCCAACTTCACTATGAATAAGAAATAGTGTACCAACTGCTTCTTATCCTCTAAATATTATAGATTGATAGTTCTTGTATTAATTTAAGGATAATTTCATATGTATTTTTGTTCAGATGCTGCACAAAGAGCTTTCATGTTTTCAAGGAGTAGACGTCGAGCGCCTTCCTTTGAGTAGGTTTGCTTTTCAGATCGAGGGAAATTTGAAATTAAGTCTGAAGACCAAATGTCACACTGTGCACATATCTTCGAGAAGGTTTCATAAAAAGGTTGAAAAGTAGAAGCGGGATAGGGAACTCAAGGGCTTGGCGTATTAATGTATGGTTTCAAACAGAACAATAATGTAAAGCATTTGTTATAGAATACCTGCAACTTCCTCCGGAGATGCTGCGTAACGTGCTCGCTGAAGGTCTACTCGGTAGTGGATCAGCAAAAGCTGACGTCTACCAGCTGGGCATGATCGTGTATCAAATACTTTTTCATGCAAGACCGTACGCAGATAAGTCTGGCTTAACCACGAAAGGTTGTGATTTATATTCGGATACGTTACCGTGCTTTTCGCTCGGTACCACAATGTATTCAAACCCGTTCCATTTCAGAATTGGCATCGATCATTTGCGACAGATTTGGGGACCGTACCGATCAGCCGTTTTATCCAACCGTGGCAGAGCAACATGAATATACCACACGACTGCTTTCAGTCATGCAACAGGTACGCGCTTTCTGGCTAACAATTGATACAAAGGGAAGCCCACTTCGATGACTGAGAAAATTTTGTTAAATTTCAAAAGCACTGAACGTACAATTTCATCAGTTATTCCAGATTCCCCTTATACTTCAAGAAATTTACTTTCAGTGTTGGGCTAAAGAAGTGGAAATCCGGCCAGAACTCTACGTGATCAGTGACGCAGTGGCTAGAGAGTTTGAGAGCGAGTGAGTCTTCTCAACGAAGCAATTTGCTCGACCTGCAAGGTTGAGCATCGTCGCCTTGGAAAACTAAGCCCTACGAGAGGATGTGATCCAGAAGTCTAATGTACAGGGTGCACCAAAATTACTTGCTCAAATCCACCGTTGTATAATCGGATGAACGATAGATTGAGGACTACTTTTCTACAACACTTCATTTGTATAAAGCCATTACACACAGTCAATTCAAATTTCGAAAATCCCTCCACGAACTCGGACACAGACGTAATGGGAATTCGTCCACTGTGCCGCAAATGTACTCCAAAGGTATTTCTTCCCATGCTCTGAGCAGGTCCCTCTTCAGCGAACCAATTGAGTGGTGTTGCTTAGAGCAACCTTGCTCTTCAACAGCGACCATACGGAATAATCCACTGGATTCAGATCAGGGCTATCACATGACCATTCCTGAGCATTGATAAATCCTGGTAAGGTGTCTGGGCACCACTGCTGGGTCACCCCGCTCTATGGGCCGGTGCTGAATCTTGTTGGAACGCGAACGGTCTACAGCCGAAGTGATATTTTGTCCACGGAAGCAATGTGCTTCTCGGCACGCTCTCCAAGTAGACTTCCATATTTATTCTAACATTGTTGTCGAAGAAAACTAGCGGGATCTCGCTTCATAGGTGATCGTTGCCCAAACCATGACTTTTTCTGCATGTCCAGAGCGTCCATGAATACTTCCCTCTCGTTAGCGTCTTCAGCTGTCGAGCAGAGCACCCGATCGTTTCAACGGTTGCAAGCCGACTCCAACGTAAACAGCTTCTCGTCGGAGGAAACAATGTCTCGGGCGTCGCTGCCGTCGCGAATCGTTGGAGGAGCATCTTGCATTATAGTGCCGGTTTTTCTTCATGTATGCAGTGAGAAGGTGCAGCTTTCGGCATCGATAGAGCGTCAACCTCAGCTTCTTTTTAACTATGCGGCGAGCGGAACTATGACTTATTCCCAGCTTTTGGGGATCTTCCTAATCGACCTCTTCGGATTGCGCCGCACCATATCCCGTACAACTTTAATTATTCTTGTGGAAGTTGCAATTGTTTTTCTTCCCCTTTCTAGGTGATCTTCTGTAGTACCAAGCTCTTTGACCATTTGATGGTGAAGTTCACAGTTCTTCTGGTGATTGTTAGAATTTTTGAGATGGTTTTGGAACAGCGGCCCATCTGGTGTAACTGAATAATCGCGAGTCTGAGAGGTTGAGGTCCAACCATTTCGAAACGAGTAAGAGCTGAGGCTCGAAGCTTGTGCTCGTGATAAAGGAAGAAGTGCCTAACATGATCACGGTCAACCGATAGATCATCGCTGCGTTAAGTTAGTAGGTCAAACTCTGCAACCTTAAGCAAGTAGTTTTGGCGCTCCCTGTAGTTATATGAAGAAGCTTCTTCATTGAGTCACAGCTCATTCGGGCATTCCTATGCATCACCTTCATTATACGCGAACATTAAAAATTAGGTTCTAATGTTTCCGTAAATCTACTTTCAATCTCACTCCTTTTTAGGCTGTTTCGGGCTTCTTCCTTAATATACTTTGTTTCCTAATAATTTATCGAGCAAATTAGTGAAGCTTGAGGTATCATGTTTTCCGGAATGTATATGCCGAAAATTCGCTCCTTCCGAGATTTCCCAAAAGATCCTCTGCAGAAAACACATGTAAGGACATCACCCAATGTACAGTGGCGCTCAAAAGTCTTCGGTGAAATGTTTTGACGCTTTATCGTTCATAACATTTTTCTTAGTAGACCAAATCGCGCAAAACTTGGATATGTTTAACAAGAGCATGTTTCATCCTATCCAACACTATTTGACTGCGAAGCTGCAATGCAAAGCTACAGGTAGAGCAAGGTGTTTGTTGCGGTAGAGGATTTTGCTAAAACTAAAGTTGTTGACGTCTGCACTTATTCGCACCTTATAGGCGTTTTTCTCATCTGTTGTGTTCGGCGTTATCGCTCGTACACTTTAGGCATGACAAAAAGGAAAGAAGTTCTAGAAGGACCATCATCTGTATTTTCAGTCGATTTTGGATTCATGCTCTTTGGAATATCTGGAACATGATCGGATTGCAGGTTAATAGTGGTAAATATTCACAATACACCCACGCTCCATAGGAATTTCGCATGATTAGATCCAGTAGGAAGGGAGTTACGACTGGAAAGTACGGCTGAAGAGCCATTTCACTGAAGACTTTTGAGCGCTACTGTATGTATGTGCATAAAATGTCATGCTACCCCTTCCTTTCTCCCTTAACCATATAATGACCGAACCGTCTATCCAAGTTCAATGTACTTCCCTACGGGATCAAATCAGACTACCTTGTTTTGAGGCCCATTGAAACTTTTGTCAAGAATTTTGCCTTAATGCGCATCCTATGCGGTTTTGTGCGCATCTATTTTTAACGCCTTACAGCCCAAAAAAGAGAGGTCAAGGATGAGCACAATCTGGCCAAGCAAACGAGAAATCAAGGCGTCTACTGATATGTTATACGCGAATAAGTGAGGGGGGACAGGACTTACGAGAGTCCGAGGATGCGCGCGGCAACTTGCGCAGCGAAGTTCGTGACGATTTGTACGGCTCTGCACCAGCTTTCGAATCACAAACTCGAAGTAGAGTAGTTGAGTTGTAGGATCAAATGAACCTTCTAATCTACTCTACTTCAAGTTTGGGCCCCAATGGTAGGCGCTAAAGCCGTTCAAATCGTTACGAACTTCGCCGCGCGATTTCCCGCGCGTATCCTCAGACGCAAGGAGGTCCACTACACTTGAGTGAGCAGCGACGTTTTATAGTGTTTCTGATTGAGCCACCAAGGAAGCCCGGGAGAAATGTGGACTATTGCGAAGTTTTCGTCACATCCATTTCAGACAACCTTACAGAATATCTACATATCTTGAAATTGTAAGGCAAACTTTTGATCATTTTTGATTGCTGGACTTTCAGAGGGAAGGGGAACGTTATCGATCAAATGGTTCGGATAATAGACGACTACAGCGAAAATTTGGAGTCGATGGTGTTGCAAAGGACGAAAACTCTTGAGGCATCGTTGGTGCAAACGGAAAATCTTCTATTTCACATCATGCCGAGGCGAGTTGCGTAATGTATGCCTGATATGATGAAAGTCTAGAGGGTCGAACCAAACAAGTTCCATAGGGATTTCTTTGCGAATACCATAAGCTTGTCGTTCAAGAAAATGTCGTGCTTGCCGCTTATCTCCTTGTGAGTTCATCCCATCACACACAGCATTTCGCTCAAAGACCCTGTCAAGTTTCATTCTTTCCATAAAAAAGACTCAAAAATCACAGCACCACTTTCAGAAACGTAGCTGAGAATTTAAGGATGGGATTACCCATTCGTTCTGAAATGCATCCATCCGTTTCCTTACTGGTTACCGACATATGCAAATATACGGAACTTTGCGAAGCCACCATTCCAGTTCAGGTAGCATAATCAGTTGAACCCTTATACAAACCTAAATATTCCACTTGTATTGAGAGCGTTTCAGGTCATCGACATATTACAAGATTTATATTCCTCTTTTGATAGAATTGTGTCTCAATATCAAGCATTCAAGGTATTTTTCAATTCGTTTAGAGTTTTCTCAGAATTTGTTGTCATCCTTCAATGTGTTCAGGTTGAAAACGTAGGTGATTTGTATTTGCTTGCAAGTGGTTTGGATCATGTTCCCAACCATCTCTGTGAAGTCTGCCGGCTCTCTTTGAAACTGCTCGACGTAAGCATTTGTTCATCTTCTTCTTCTTATAAATCCACTGTTTCTCAACTTTCTGCTAAGCATTGGTTACGTGACTACCTGACCTGTCTCTGCGTCCCTGACGACAAGAGGCTAGAGCGCAGAGAAAAACACCCTGGGTGAAACCTACGGCGGTGGTGGTGGGGGTCCCATTGGACACGCGAGCACAACACTCAAAGACTACATCAAACGGAGTGCGCCAGACGAGGGCAGAAAAATGACGCATTCGGTAAATTTGAAGGAACCAAGTTCAAGTAGTCCGTGGGCTATTTTGACTTTTGACTTTTTGAACAGGACCACGAGAGCAGTGGCCGCAAAATTATTTAGAATCCCCACAAGCCTGGCGAGTTGTAGACAAAACTTCGGTCTCGGACGATACTCGACATCGCACTGGTGCTATCCGGGCACCGTGCTCTTATCCCTTATCCCTTACTGCGAAGTTGCACATTCTCATCGCGTACTGCGGCGGAACAACAACAATTAACAAAATATCGAGTCAAAACAAGCTACCTGAAACTCAGTTTTTCTCTGTGATTCCAATGTTAAAGTGGATTTTGCATTAGAGCAGACCATCAGACCTGGTGTGTCGCGCACTGCCACACGGATCCTTCGTAGGTGTGTACTGACAAGTTGACAAGACGACACCAAGGCACAGTACTTCATGCGTACAACCTCAAACTTGGGTAACTAAGCCAGTAAGCAATTTGTAAAGATAAATAGAATTTGGTAACAATGCTAATAAATTCTCTAAAAAGAGTTGAGAAAGCATGGATACCAAGAACGACTCAGGCGGCCTTTTATACCGTAGGGTCTGAGTCAGTCATCACCAGATCGTGCTGTAGGTCGTCCTGCGGTAGATCATGGAGCCGTGTCATCCACTCCCATCTACTGCAGCTTTCCATTACCTGCTACTAGCAGAGAGCATCTTTAAGGCGTGATTGCTTTTGCCTTTTGGCATCAGACAAGGGACACAACACTTTGTGATGCCCGTCACTGGAGATGAGGTCTTCGAAGTGTGTGTTGTACACACTGACGCAATACTAGCATTCCTTCTGCTTCTGGCCGTATCTGTCTCCAAATTGCTCCAAGTAAAAGCTTCACAAATTGTTATCATTGAGGCTCTGGTTCCGGGAGTGCGCGTCTTCGACAATGGGACACGAGATCAGAAAATGAGTGATTGTGCTCCGTCGAAACTACGAGGGCGTTGAGGCTTCACGATCCGATGAGCAGCTAACCTGCGATACGACGATCTTTTACGCGCATATCCCATATATTTTTTCCAGCGTCGTTAATCCTCAAAGTCCCTTGCGTGGGTAATATACTTTGAACTGGATTGCATCTCGCAGCGACTGGAACTTACAAAATCGCCGTCATCATCTGTCTCTTCAATCATCTTGGAAGATCGTCAGTCACTTCCAAATCTTTTCCTTTTTGAATTGAGGAGTTCTCAGCTCGATGTCGTCGTTGGCCATGCAGTTTTACACGCTGATCTTCGTCGGTCACACAGTTTTCCAGTGAAGACAGTTTTTTTTTTCATGGGCGTGATTTCATCGGTCTGCTCCTTTGGAAGTTGCTGCAACATATTCAACTTCTCATTCAATTCACTTCAATGTTGTAGGTTTTCTTCGGAACTTTCCTTTCCGAGATCCTTTCCAGCTTTTGCTAGAGTTCTTTCGTCTGCTTGATCACTTGCGTCAGAGGCCGAAGTTCCACCTCTATTGTCACATTTATGACTTCTACTCTGTGGGATCCCCATTTTTCAGCCAGCAAGTTCTCATAGCGGATTGAGGAGACTCCTCCCGCTGTCTGAAGTGCGTATATCCCTTCACTGAATATGAATCGCGTTCCAACTTGCAGATGTATGTAGTTCCTTTACAGCTCTGGCTGAGTGTCTGAGATTTGTGAAAAGGAGGACTCTCTTCCCCCCCCCCCCTGGAATTTTCAGAAGAGTCATCGGGCTGAATGAACTCGAAATGGTTACAAACGGAACGCGACCCAGTTATATAACGTTGTATATTGTTGAAGCGTCTGTGTGTGGGTTGACCACACCAAGGCACAGTACTTTATAGGTGCGACTTCAAACTTGGGTAGTTGAACCAGTAAACAACTTGTAACATCAACAGAGAGTTGTAGCAATGCTAATAAAGACCTAAAAAAGAGATTAGAAAAGTGGGTGCGAGGACGGGCTGAGCCTTTGGTACAGTCGGATCTGCGTCAATTCCCGCCAGATTGCGCCCTGCGGTAGTTCATGAAGTCGTGTCATCCGCGACACCTTAAGTCATCATAGTCCCCAGGTTTGCATAGATCTCAGGGAGCTGAAAGCGCTCCTACGTGGTAGGAGATTTTATTCCTGCGAGAATCCTTCGCTCTAAAAAAACGCCATGTGAAAATGCAAAAAAATATCTGAAAGCCTGTTGTTGAGTACTAAGTCCCTTCACTGCTTACTGATGGACCACTTACCATCACTTTTTCCGCTTTGTGTAGTCGGATTGCTACAGGATCTTTGCTTGATCCTTACTATATATAAAATACTTGCCTCTGTGTTTCCGCCTGTTTGTTTGTGCGGAAATTGGGTATTACCTAAAGAAGCACCTACAGAAGACAAGTTTGTGATGGGTTGGGCATGGGGCAAGACCAACAGAGCATATGTGAGCTCAGAGGAGCTCCACCTACAGGGGGCGGGGCATGTACAACAGTGGTATGTTTCTTGGGCAAAACGTCTGAATTAGGTTTCATAGCAGCCTGGACGAGGGGTGGGTCAACAAGTGAACTGAAGGAGACTCACCTGCGCTGGGCGGAACGTTCCTGCAGCACGTGGTTTTACACTATAACAGCATAACTCGATTCAGCGGAAGCGTAAAGGTTGGAGTTAATCGGAACTAATATCGGGGATTTTTTCCTAGTTCAAAAACGTCCTAGAACGCGTCAAAAAAGTGGTTGAAGGTGACGGAAGGGATGCGGTCATGAGCGGTCGTGGGTATACAATGTACGCGTTAGCGTGCATAGCTCTACTGGTCATATTACGTATGAGTAAGTACATACATATTCAGATCATGTAATAAGCACAGCGCGATCGAACGAGTTTCAGTTTGTCGAACATTACGACATTAAACACCCGTCGAAATTCAAATTGGCGGTCAAGATCGGAATTCACTCCGGATCCGTGGCTTCTGGAATTCTGGGAAGTTCAGCTCCAAGGTATGTACAACCATGAAATGATTCGGCCAAAAAACTTTCTAATAGGGTCTCCCTATAGTAAAGAAGATTTTCCTGGTTCCCAACACTATTTGGAGGTGGTTCTCACGGATGTTTACCTTACCTCTTGTACATGACATCTTCATAAAGTCAGTTAGGGCGAGAAATGAAAAAAATGATGAAAAAATGCTTCCAACAGCGCAGTCTTTAAGAAATCTGTCATCATGTTGTGGACCGATCTCTGTGTATTCACAGTTACACCATTAATTTTCAGATTTTGCATTTTTGGTGATACCGTGAATATGGCATGTCGTATGGCGAATTCAAGCGAGCCCAACAAAATTCAGGTGGGTCCATAATATCAATCGTTGACAGTGCCCAACCTATGTACTAATTCCTTGCCTTTGCCAACACTGTGATCGATTGTGTCCTCATGGTAAGTCAGTGACAGCTTAAACATCAGCAGCAGTTTAGTTCCAACTTATAGTGTTCTTCTTGCCTTCAAGACTATTAATAATCCAGAATGAACCGAAAACGTCGTTGGAAGCTGGATGTTGTCTCCTATCTCCTATTTCCTGTTCATTGATTAGATGATGGTCATAAAAAACGTGTTTAGTCTCCGTATAAAGTGAACACAACAAGAAAACGTCTTATTAAAAGGAATCATGGAAAAACGTGCTTATCCGTGGTCATCTATAGCTGTACTGATGTGACGAAGATGAGTCGGATTGCTCGCACACCGTCGTTTCCTTCTTCTTGTGTTGAGTTGACCAACAACCTTTAACCCCTCCAAATTCGGACACTCTCGGTCTAACTGTAAGGAATAGGATTTTCGCGCATATCCCGACCCGTAGAGGTTTCTTGTCTTGGCACCTGCCATCAGTGTTCCCGCGCTACCGCCCGTATCCCTATTAAACGTAGACGCTCTAGGTCCGTGCTACCGCCGGTATTCCTACCAAACATAGATGCTTTAGGTTCCGGAAATAAGAGTGATGAACCTCTGCCAAACCCACATTCCCCACATCGATACACCGACACGTCGGCACATACACATACTCAAGTACACAGACTCGCGGCATGCAGACGTACACACACTCGCAATACACGCAAACAGACATACACACATGCACACGCGCACCATTTAGCGCATTGTATGGAATAGGATAATCGGAAGATTTCTTTTTCGGTCTCTTAATTTTTTCATTGTTCTTGTGTTTAATAACCACTTCCTATCACTTGCTTAGCCGTTAAAAATACGTAAATCGTACAAGTAACGTTGTAAATATGTTCACCCAATCCCACAGATTACAGCTCATCGAATGAGAGCTGCCAATATATGCGATAGTTTCTGCTCAAGGCCACAAAAGTATTTGGCAAAGCTTGATATGATGGCATCGATTCTTAACGACATTTCAAAGTGCAAGACGTTGCCCTTTCAAAAAACTTGTTTTTCTTTGCATTCTAACTGTTTTCAGAATCGCATGACAATGTCGTTATTACAGATGACCGAGAGCATTGCACAAAATGTCCGGTTGAAGTATCCGGGTTTCATCATCGAGGAACGCGGTTCCGTAAACGTCAAGGTAAGCTACATAATTTCAGTTACCTAGGTTATTCATGGGGAGGCCTTTGCCCGCTCTGAGCAAGTGTATTCAATGACGTCATCTCGGCTAACACAATAAGATGTAACATGGGACGCAGTTTGGGTGAAAACATCAACATGACTGCGTTCGCCACATAGATAGCTGCGTGATCTCTTCGTAGAATGTGTTGGAGGCTGTGCCCATGCGATTAAGAAGCTTCCGCAATTGACATGTGATTCGTGCTGTATTGGAGGAACTGGGGAGCAGTTAAGCGTTTGTGTAAAAGATTATTTGGCTAGGAAGCTCGAGAAGCTTTTGAAAGCTACAATTGTATTTGCTCGATGGAAAATGCCTAGTTCTGTCATACTTCTGCAGTTTTCGCGACGGAATCATTCCTAAGAATTGAATTTAGAAGAAAAAGAGGTAATAAGTAAGAAACCGATTTGGGGATTGTCTCTGACCTGTCCGCGCATCGCCATTCAATAGACCGTCGTGCAATAGACGTCAAAACGACAAGTGGTCTCGGAAAAAGCTCCACCAAATAAGCGCGAAGATGAAGCGCCTAGTGGAGGAGGGCAAGTTTTCATTAATTTTCTGGACAGTAATGAATAGTTATTATCAAGCAGATATGTGAACTCGGATATTTTATAAATACAATAAAAGGTGGATATTTAGATGGGCTTTCCAAACGGGAAGTATTCGTTTTTCTGAAAAGTTATAAGTATATTTGTAGTGCAGCGTGCACTCAAGAGTTGATCCACGTCGAGCGTGGTAAGTAATTCTCCAGAAGTATCGATTTCACGCTCTTGAGAACAACAAAGTTGTCTGAACTCCAACTATGATACATTTTCCGTAGTTGAAAGTCTATTCGGAACATAAGTATTAAAGGCACCGTTTACGATAAATTTAGGGTACCCTTTTTTGACGGGAATTCATAGAACTACTCTAGAATAAAGCGATAACAACGAAAAGAGCGCAAAAAACGATGAACAAAAAGAAATAGAACGGGTCAAAAGAGGGAAAGGGGGTTGGACGAGCTTCACATTGGAAGAACGGGGGTCAAGGGAGTGTTCGGGCGAGCGCACGAAGGCGACGCAATGTCTGCAATAGCAGACAACACACCCAATTCGCCTGACAATCTGACTGGCAGACTGGCAATTTGCCAACCACCTTATCGATTTTTCACCAACTTCGCTCCTATGCGAAAGTGGTGAACGGCAATTAGATTTCGTAGTCAGCCTAGCGAGGGGCGGAGGGCGACCGTGGCTCACTCTCCGGCCCCTTATTGTGCCCTATCCAGTAATTTCCGACCTCATTCCTGCACAAATGGTATCAGAGGGGGTGTCGGATTCAAACCATGTGCAAATCTCCGAAACCATTTTTTCGTGAACAGTGCCTTTAAATACCTATAATTTATCAGTGAATGGTGGAGCCGAAGTCAGTGCTAGTCCTACCTCAGAGCAGTTTGCTTACTGATATTCTCCTGCTCTTTTTCCCAGTATACGACGCAACGTCTCTGATCACGAACGCTAGACAGAAAATTAGCAGGCTCCGCCCGCACACTTTCAACTTTTGGAACCGCTTACAGGAAATGGCCCTATCCCAAGTGGGTATCAAACGTTTTCAATGCTTACGTCAAGCTGTCCCCTCGGTTGCTATGCTTATCTTCATTTCCGTTACACGCAGCATGCTATCGCGCATAGGTTTTTCAGATGTTTCAGTGCAAAAACTGGGGAGGCAAACCTGTCCAGTGACCGAGGCCAAGCGTAATATTATTTAGATTATGTATGTATGTTTTTACATCTCTATGAAGCTTTTCTCGCACGACTCCGTGTCTTGATTCCTCATACGGGGCCCTGACAACGTCGGTCATTAGCCGTGCTCATTTACCACATCGTGTAGGTTAGAAATTGTTGAGCTCAACATCTATAAAACTATTGCAGCCAAGCACGCGTTCTGATGTAGAGTAGCACGGAGAAGATCTATACTTGGAGACGAACTGGATACGAATGATAGCAGTAGTTGATATAGTAGTTGACCTGATCAAATACCCTGGTCAAACTGCAGTAACATCAGATCAGATCCTGGAATTTGGCGCCTAAAAGCTGGTCTTTAATTGACTGTGGTAGACCACATGTGATGGCTAGACGCCTACAACACTTTCGGCACAAATAATTGTACCTTTATATTCTATTCTACTTTCTTTTTGGGCAAGGGAATTTTCGCTTTTTATATTATCAGTCTGTGATCAGCAATTGAAGGTTTGTGTGGCTCTGAGAGGAGGGCAGGTGAAGATCACTTACGAGCTGACACCTTTCCTGCTCGCCAACATCGAATTTTGGTGCCGTCGTTTTTTCACAACTTTAGATACGTTGAATTCATTTTTCGCTTTGGTAAAAAAACGCCAACTTGTAGGTTTCCTCACCGAAATAGCTTTTTGCGTCCTGTAGTGATCATTCGAACAGAATCAACGTTGCACTAATTTTTAATATCTTTACTGCTTACATAGTACGCTATGATGGTGATCAAAAATGCGGAGTGTCAGTTAGAATGGGCGCAAATTTGGCTTGATTCTGAGAGGACCTTGACGTCATAATAAACCGGAACGGAACCGATTTTAAGGAAAATAAGCAAAAATAAAATAAAGTAATAGAATAATAAAAAAATGTTTTTCCATGATTTTGGCTCCTATCGTTCTTTGCAAGACATATGGCACGTTATACTCAGATTGATGACAGAGCCGAATTGAGCTTCAGGAGAGAGACTGTCATTAATTGAGGGCACAGCTCACGATAATTTTGGGTAATCCAGATTATGATGAAAAATGAAAGACAAAAACGAAACTTGTGCGACTGAGGTAAAGAAACTGCGTGCATCGGTGTTTCCAAAGTGAAAAAAGGCTTCGAAAAACCGTTAAACAGGGGGCTGGACGAGAATGAAACCAGAAAAATGAAGAAGAGTGGGGCGTCTGGAGGAGCTAAAAGTGTCTCACTGCGCGCGTGTGGGTCCTGATGCGAATAACAGACAATGGTAAGCAAAAATTCATCCACTTATGAAATAAGTGAACAAAAAAACCCTAGTAACAGCAAAAGTAGCTCACCTTTTTCTAGGAGTAGGAAATTAAATAAGGGATCGCGGCAGCAAAAAGAAAAAGAGGAAGAAAAAAAGAAAAAAGGAAAAAGAAAAGGAAAAAAGGATGGGGAAAAAACACTCGGCGGTTAGCTGATTGTGTGTGGGTCCTAGAACGAATAATAGTAATCTGTATTGTCTCGACACTCGTCTAACGTGACACCGATCGAAGGGCGGGAAAGCGAACTACGGCAGCAACGAGACTTCCACTATGCCCTAAGTGCCGAGACTGTGGGAGCGAGAGGGTCCCCTCTACCACCCATGTGGGGCGCTGAGTATTTCTAGAGGAATAACTCGGTAAGCTTCTCTGTCGTGAACCGTGCCTTTAAATGCAGAGCATTGTGATACTTGTGACATTTGCTGAGAACAAGAAGATGTATTTTCAGGGCAAAGGACCAGTTTTCACTTGTTATCTCACAGGATGCATAGGATCTCGTCAGCCCTCTGAAAGTCGTTTGTCTGTTGATGAAAACACAATGATTCCGCGTGCGAACTATTTCCCGTTTTGAGCAACAATGAAGAAGACCCTCTATTGCTTGTAAATAAAGGTTAATTGCAGTGAGCTTTCACCGAGATTTCTTCGAAGGCATCTCATCATTAGGAGACTGGCCAGTATCATATACAGTAGCGCTCGGAAATTCAGCCAAACGACCGAACGCTATTTCGGCTGTAACGTTTTTCTTATTGGAGCAGCGAAGTATATTTCACACTACCCAACACTGCTTAATTGTAAATCATCAATATCCGCATAGTTAAGAGCAATACTTTATGTGGTAGTAGACTCCGCTGAAAGCAAAGTGGTTTCATAACCTTCCTTCCAGCCCAATCTACTACCACAACAAGTGTTGCCCTTAACTATGCGGATATTGATGATGCAGCACTCCACTTATTCAAACCTCAAATACTCTTTCTCTTTCACTGTTATCGCTTTAGCGCTTGTACACTTCAGACATGGCAAAAGGAAAGGAATCAGAGGGCCCATTATCTGTATTTCTAGATGATTTTGAGTTCAAGCTCTTCAGGATATCTGGAACATGGTCAGGAATAGTGGTGAATACTCACAACACACTCATACTACACATATTGGCATTTTGCTCGATTAGATCAAGTAAAAAAGGAGTCACGACTGAAAAGTATGGCTGAAGAAGCATTTGGTCGAAGACATCTGAGCTTTACTGTATATTCACGGCACTTTCGCAGGAAAACGTATGGAAACAGCGGAGCTACTGCAGTATGTAACCTCTAGAGAGCTCTGCTTGGCTGTGCCTTCAGGCTCCTCTTGATCTGTGCAAAGCCATAAGACACCATATCATTTCGCACGTTCCATGAATTAACCGCCAAGAAGAATTAGATTGCACACATACACTTACCTACTGTATTATTCTACTTACTACATATAAAGCGCTTCGTCTGTCTGTCTGTCTGTCTGTCTGTCTGTCTGTCTGTCTGTCTGTCTGTCTGTCTGTCTGTCTGTCTGTCTGTCTGTCTGTCTGTCTGTCTGTCTGTCTGTCCGTCTTTCTGTCTGTCTATCGTATGTCTGTCACGAAATTCTTTAGCTCCTTTAGATCTGCTTGGAGAGACCGGATCAAGCGTGATACGGGTAGGCCATGTTCCGAGAAGTATAAAGAACAACTCAGCTCGGCGGAGCCCCGCCCACAGTGGGCGTGGCGTGCATCGAAATGAGCTGTACTGAGGGCCACAAGACGGCTTCAAAACTGGGGTGTAAAAATGGCTAGAGGTGTGCATTGGTGAGTTAGATCCAATTGGAGAGACCCACCTCCGATGGGCAGGCGTTCTAGAAAAATGCAATGCTTTATGAAAACATTTATAACTCGGTTTGCAGAAAGCCAACAGAGCAGGAAAAATTTGAAGTAGCAGACGCATTGTTGAAGGCGTCT